TATGTATTATATTACAAAATATTTAATTTAAATTATTTTTACATTTTGAATTTATGTAATTAGTAGCGCCATCTACACAATTATATCTGAAATTCGTTCGGCTTGCTTATATTCTGACCAGTGCGATGATGAATGTATTGGTTTACCATCGATTATAAATACTATAATATTACTAAATAATAAATGTAGGTAGTCACTAGGTACTATGATACTTGAATAAACGATACGAAAATAGGTGGCAGGGTAAACTGGTTTTTGAACCGGGGAAAAAAAAGGTACCTACTAAAGTATTTATAATCTAGGGTTTTACTTTCTCAATGATGAATGATATGGAAAAACATAACTTACATAACTGGCCAATAGTATAACATATAAATGGTGGTAATCGAGGTAAAATTCTTTGATGTTGCACAATCGTCTCGCACGGACTGAATTTCGAGTTAAATTTATTTCTACCCGCTTCATACTATCCAATTCCAAATATCTTTCTCGAAGAACCGATTTTTCGTTATTAAACATAATAATTCTTATTCTTCCAAGTTCCAACAATAAACTTAGGCTCAACGCTCAACTAGACCAATATTTTTGGGAGTACACAAATTGTAAAAAATTCACAGACCCCTACCCTCAAGGCCTCAACACTGTATATAACACTGTATATATATGTATATATAAATTATATATATAATATATATAAACAATAATCTCAAAAAGTCAAATGTGAATGTATACTCGTAGATTATATTTTGATTTCATGAGTGAAACAGTAACATAATATTAAGAAAAGAAAATTTCACAACTTTTTAACATGACTTTTCTGCCAGTAAATTGTACTTATTTAAATGACTGTTAGTTTAGACTTCAGAATCAAGTATCCACCTCTCTTCTCACAGTAATAGGTACCCAAATCAATAATTCCATTACAATTATTTTTATTCAGTTAAGTCCAGAAACTGGAAGACAGATCATTAATGGTTAATTTCTCGTTAAGTGTATTTTTATTTATTTTTTTAATAATATAATATGTATTATAGCTATAGGCATAAGGCATGGACGCCATGGACGTAAATAGGGGGGGCCAAGGGACTTAAAAGGGCTTAGCCCACTCTGAGCCATATAACTATAAAAGTAATCTTTATTATAATAAATTATTTTATTTATGAGCTAAAATATATGCTTTAAACAATAAACATACTTCCAGACTTGAGGAATTTATTGGTACATCTTTTACTTCAATCAGCCAAATCATTAACAACAGATTGCATTCAAGAATTATATTATATTAATTATATTATTTAATTTAATATTAATTAATTATATTATTCATAAAGAAGAAGATTATAGGTTAAGATGTTTTTAACCTTAAATGCTTAAAACACTAAAAAATGCATGCAAATAAGCCCAATAATTAATAAATATCAAAATTTGCCTTTAAAAATCAAATATGACATACTAAAATGTTGTTGTTAAATTAAAATATGTACTTAGTCTAAATGAATACAAATATTTTTTTCAACAAAAATACAAATATGCAAAAATATGAACTTGCACTTGCAATATGTTATGTAATGTATTTTTTTTAGATATAATTTTTACTCCACATAATACCTATGTACTTGACATAATAGCATTAAAACATCTGTTGAAAATACGTCCTCCCCAAACTCAAAACAACTTTGTGTAGTCGAGCAGCATTGGAACATAGTGAGAATAAAGCGCTATTTAAAACTAAAATAATTCTGTAACACTGTAGTCTAGCCGTGACCCATCAATCACCATACTCTAAGTAATTAACGATTTTATAGTGTTAAAACCACGGTAGATTACTATAATCTAGGACAGGGGTGTTATTCGTTCAATATGTTGAGCAAGACACGCAAAACTGTAAATATATTGGCAATATTGGAAAATAGGAAGTTTATGAACAAGTGGACAGAACTATATTGTTATGTATTTCCTGAAAGGGTTTGAGCCATTCCAGTCTGTTTAATTTGCAATTCAACCGTCGCTATTATTCAAAGTGCAAATTTAAAACGGCATTATTATTTTTATACTGCTGTTTTTAAAATATGAAGATTTGAAAAAGATTTTTTCACTAGACCACATTGATTTATTATTTTAATTAGGACTCCAATAGAAATTACTTGCCTACCCCTGATTTAGGATCATATTCATTTAGCATATGATCTAAGACTATAATAGAGTACTACAGTCTATCGCGGTTAAAACACTATATCCGATATCGGCAATTCGGCATCACCATTGAATCGCGATTATCAGTCTTAAAAATCATTAATAAACATAAAATAGGTAGGTAGTGAAGAAAAGGTTTTTAAAAACTATACTTTTTAATTTTTCATATTATTTTCTCGTTTGCGTTAGTTGTAAAATCAACAATGCCTACTTGGCTTCTTATGGGCTTATCAGGGTCGGACTGGGTACCAAGGGCCTCACCGGCAATTTACTTATAAAGGGCCTCAACAATAGTGATAAATAATAATTCGCTTAAAAAAGATGATTGATTATTTTCACTAAAAATTATCATAAATTAATAAACTTTATAATTTACAAAATCGTTAAAAATGTTATTTATTAATTTAAGGTAAGGAGGAAAATGTAGAAGATTTTATAGAAGAGTATACCTATAGAATCAAACGCTTTGTGTTAATTGTTAAGACATAATATAAACAAATAATGAAATAAAAATAATATTTTATTTCATTTTAA